CAAAATATATATACACTGAGTGTATAAAACTTTAGGGACACCTGCTCTTTCCATGACATAGACTGACTAGGAGAATCCAGGTGAACGCAATGATACCCAAAACATGCATCCTGTTTGCAATAAGGCATGAAAGTAAAACTGCAAAAAATGTGGCAAAGAAATGATCTTTATGTCCTGAATACAAAGCGTTATGTTTGGAGCAAATCCAACAACACATCACTGAGTATCACTCTTCATATTTTCAAGTATGGTGGCTGCATAGGGAGGTTTTTAGGATACAATTAAAGGAGACAAATAAACAGAATAGAGCTAAAGCACAGGCAAAATCCTTGAGGAAAACCTGGTTCAGTCTGCTTTCCAACAGACACTGGGAGACAAATTCACCTTTCTGCAGGACAATAACCTAAAACACAAGGCCAAACGGACACTGGAGTTGCTTACCAAGACATCATTGAATGTTCCTGAGTGGCCTAGTTACAGTTTTGACTTAAATTAGCTTGACAATCTATGGCAAGACTTGAAAATGGCTGTCTAGCAATGATCAACAACCAACTTGACAGAGCTTGAAGAATTTCTAAAATAATAATGTGCAAATATTGTACAATCCAGGTGTGCAAAGTTCTTAGAGACTTACCCAGAAAGACTCACAGCTGTAATTGCTACCAAAGGTGATTCTAACATGTATTGACACAGGGGTGTGAATACTTATGTAAAATACATATTTTTGTATTTCATTTTCAATACATTTGCAAAAATGTGTCATTATGGGGTATTGTGTGTAGATTGGTGAGAGAGAAAAAAATCAATTTAATCCATTTTGAATTCCGTCTGTAACACAACAAAATGTGGAATAAGTCAAGGGGTATGAATACTTTCTGAAGGCACAGTAGTACACCTCTCTGATCCAGAAATACTTTAAGAAATGAAGAGTACCGATATTTCTGTCTGAGCATCGCTAGCAAGCCCAGGAAACCTCTTCCGCCTCACGTTACCAAAACCCGGTCCACCGTGTTTGATTGACAGGTCTAACACGCCGAAAACGCAAAGGAGCAATACATAAAAAATTAAAAAAGCAAAATTAAGCATTGTGGTTGATTTGTCTAATTTTATTGATCATTTGAATTTTGACAGTCTTAAGTATGTAAAAGCGTTGTCAATTGCTAATTGAGATTTTTTATTATTTTTTGTCATGATTCATGCATCACAACAAGGAAATTAAATGGCAAACACAAGAAATGATTTGTCAAAAGCATTTACTTTTAATTATCCACTTTGCTATTTCTTTTTCAAATTGGCAGACAATATGCATACTAGATCATGAAAATCATAATGCAATATATTTTTTTACATTTCAATTAGAATTGAAAAATGCATACCCAGTTTGAAAAAGTAATTGCAAACATGCTATTGATTTATCATTTGCCTATTTGCATTTCCAATTGAAATGTGTAGATTGTTCTTTGTACTTTGTTACTATTGCCTATTGTATGTTGCCTGTGTTTACGGTGTTGTGTAATGTGCAGGTAGCATATACATTAATACAGTCCTTCCCTTGTTAATAGCCTTGTTGCTCTACTTGTGCTATCAGTTATTGTATTGTGTAGTGTATTCATTACCCCCGTTTTCTGTCCATTAAGAACCACTAGCATTCCACGTCCTTTCCACATACATCCCCTTGCACATTTCTACATTCCTGTGTGTGTGTGAATAAAATTCCATGTGCGTTAACTCTTGGGCTGCCTTATTCCCCTCTAACCGTGGGCGGTGTCAGTGGGTCACAGACCATCAAACACGTAAAGCCGTGTTGCGCTCTTTCAGTAAGGAAAGGAAGAGAGAGAGAGCCTCGGTATTAGAGGTAAACAAGCAAGGTGTCTTTATTTTGTTGCAATTTGACAAACAACAAGCTGGCATTCATGAATACATACTTCTACAAAGCCATTCTAATGTATTATTTAAAGTACTAGCGACCGTAACAAATGATGCAGAAGTAGTAGTACTGTAATAGTACAGTAGTGTTACTAGTATAGACTGTATATACTATATACAGTAGATACTATGCTGTATATACCCATGATACTGTATATACTCTATATACTGTTTAGACTAGTATACTGTAGTAGTATTGTAGTAATACTGTTGGATTGACAATAAAAATAATATAACAATTCAAATAAAAATATGGCACTCTTTATATATATTATATTGCTTTGTCAATCTTGATCATCATAATCACCTTTGTCGTACAATAAATGTCATATATTTAGTAATCAATGTGTTATATTATTGCTAACATCAACTGTAATTTCAAAGCTATAATAATTGTAATAATAATCAAAGTACATCAGGGGTATTATATTGTTACAGAAAATAACGGTCATAAATCTGGAGCAGAATACAGAGATGGGGGTGGGTGCTTGGCACATGCACAAAGGGATATTATTGGAGGAGAAAGGGTAAGCAGGCCCTCTTATTGGAAAAGAGGTGCTTGAGCAGCTGTCACTCAGTCATCATCGGAACACTCACGCAGCCAATCCATACATACACACATGCATTCTTTTCAGTCAAACAAAGTGGATGCGACCCAAATGGCAACCCTTTCCCTATATAGTGCACTACTTTTGACCAGAGCCCTATAGGCCCTGATCAAAAGTAATGCACTATGTAGGGAATATGGTGCCATTTGGGACTGAACCAGTATCTAAATAATTACAGATAGTCTTGGAACTTTTTTTCAATTATTGTCAATATAAGTTACTTTTTTATTTTAACTAATTTTTTAAAAAGCTAGACTACTCTACTCCAGTCGTTAAATAGGAGTTGTACATGCCGGTAAATAAATCAATCATAATGCTTTACTGAAAGACCCACTGACCAATCACTAGGCTGATCCAGATCCCTTCCACAATGTCAACGAACGCAAGTTCAAATAAATATGACATTACACATATGACATCACAAAAGTATGACATCATACAAAAACTGTATAGAGACGGGCAGATGGACACACAGACAAGTAGACAAAGACAAGCAGAGACAGAGGTGGACACAGATAAACAAACAAACAAAAGGTAGACTCACACTGACAGACAATTAGACACACAGAGATGGACGGACAGACGGAACACACAAAGACAGATAGACAGACGGACGGATTTATCATGTCAAAGTCCCCACGAGAGCAGCCAAACTCAGAACAATCTCAACAGATAGATAAACACTCCAGACAGTCTCTTATACTCTGACATCTGTAGTTGGTTTAAACCTGAAGAATGCAACTGCAAAATAAAATACTGAAAAAGATGAGTAGAAACTCACACCTAGATAGTACGTATATGTCACATTAATAATAAATAACCTTAATATAGACGAGTGGAGTACGTAACCCTGTTTTATTCTTTCCCTCCATCTCCCTCTCTCCTTTTATCTTTACCCTCTCTCTCTCCATTTCCCACTCACCGTCTCACTCCATCTCTCACCCCCCTCCCTCTCTCCTCCCTCTCTCTCCATCAGCCCCAGCCACTGCAGCAGTACAGCCCAAGCAGGCCTGTCAGTCTCATAGCCAGTGAATGGCTGACGCAGCATCCTGTCGTTTTAGTGGAGCACTGAGTGAATTACACACACACACACACACACACTGAGTGAATTACTTCAGCCTCCATTAGACTAACGAGAACCGTTCGTCCTCTGGGGACACGGAGAGATGGAGGATGGGGGGGGGGGGGGGATGGTTGAGACGGGAGAGAGTTGGATAGGACAAAAGAGAGAGATGGAGGGGAGCGAGACACAGACAACATCAGTGGTATGCACATCCACAATATATAATACTTTACTGCATTCTGACGCTAGAACAAACAACAGTGGCTGTGACTGACATTCACGAGTGCTTGGCTACATATAGGTGATTGACAGAGGTATGTGGATATACACTGACAAGTGCATACAAATTTCACATCATTGCTCTATCACACAACGACACACACACACACACACACACACACACACACACACACACACACACACACACACACACACACACACACACACAGAGTGGATTGAAAAACGTGCACTGAGGACCAATACTCACAAGTTCAGCGATCAACAAGATAGACGTGTGACATATAACATGACTACATGTCTATCTTGTTGATCACTGAACATGTGAGTATTTGTCCTCTGTGCACGTTTTTCAATCCACTCTGTGTGTGCGTGAGCCGGTGTGTGTGTCAGTATGTGAGAGAGCGATAGTGTGTGTGTGTGTAGGAACTTTGTATGCACTTGTCTGTGTATATCCATGTAGTGTAACTCACACAGACACACACACAGTCTAATCGTTTTTTTTCAGTGTAGTTCTTTTCTAACCCAGCAAACAGGGATTTACATGGCTCCAGATTCCTATAATAATTGATCAAAGGTTTTAGGTTTGGACCCACCCAGACTACATCCCAAACCACACCCTATTCCATGTACTACTTTCGACCAGAGCTTAGTAGTGCACTATGTAGGGAATAGGGTGTAATTTGAGATGCAAAAGAAGACGCTCTACAGACCCAGATTGTATTCCGAATCCCACCCTTTTCCATATGGAGTGTACTACTTTCAACCAGAGATTAGTAGTGCACTATATAGGGAATAGGGTGTCATTTGAGACAGAAGAAGACACTACACAGATACAACAACAGATCACCTAACTAATACAGCCAGAGAGAAAGAAAGAAGGAAAGAAGGAAGGTCAGATAGACGAACGACAAGTGAACGGATACATAGATAGACAGTGGAAAAGTGGTCAAAATAGCTGTTTTAAATAAAAATAATTAAAAATAAGCAGATAACGAGATTTGTATCAACTGGAAAATAATAAAGTTAAGTAAAAAAAAAAAAAAAAAAAAAAGTGATGTGGATCACAGAGGTTCAGTCGTACCACACTTCCGCACGCACACACACACGCATGCATGCCCACAGATGCATGCACGCACACACACACACACACACAAACACACACACACACACACACACACGCGCAGTCTTCAGAGGTACTGTATTGACACACATTTGAAATGTTCACCTTTTCACAGCCTTCATCAATGACCACCTCCTTCCATAATAAATCTGATGCTGATAAAATGTCAGCTTATGGACGTGTTATAGGTAGCCAAACATCCGCAATGGAAACAAAAACAAAAAACACAGAAAATATGATTTGTGATACAGTAAAATGTGATTTTGTGGGGGAAAGGAATCCACTGTTTGGCCTTCATCAAGTTAAATGCAAGCCTTAACAAATCATATCACATGAAGAAATGTAGGAAACTATGGAAGGACATGGTCGTCATTATCTCTTGCTCTCCTCAGAGGTCAGTGCAGCGCTCCTGCTTGCTGTAATGGTCGAACTGGCTCTTCCAGTGCATCATGTAGGAGGACCAACGATGGAACTCCACCTTCCACTGACGCTCCGCCTCGTCTATGTTATCTGGGGAGGAGGAGAGAGAGAAAGAGAGAGATTCCCACAAGTGAAAGACAGAGTCACCACTGTCACCTACAGATGGAATCACACAATATCAGACACATTCAGAAAGGAACCCGGGAGACAGCGGGGAAGACCCAGGAAGCGACATCATCCCTGTTTATCTGACATGGGGTCATAGGTCAGGAGACTAACTAGAAATGTTTCACACAGACCTCTAACAGTAAAACACAGTGGCTTTTTGGGTTTGGAACATTTCCAATGAAAAGTTGGCATTATACTCATGTTTGGGTTTTTGGTATACAAACATGGATCACACACACAGTGAGTCAAGTGGCTATCGACATATGTTCCGAGGTAAAGAAGGAGGGATGAAATAGAATTGTTGTACATTACAAAAATATGCAAAATAAAAGGATAAAGGAGAGAGAAAGGGAGTTTGAGGCTTCTCACTTTGCCAGCCAAGATAAAACATATATATATATATATATATATATATATATAACTTTAAAAATTGCGAGATAAAACGATATTAGCAAAAAGGACTTCAGATTGAAAGGAGAGCAGATGGTGAAATCAAAAATAGAAAAAAGGTCTACGCTTGGAGAGAACAGAGAAAAAGCACAAGGCCCTAGAATGAGCTAAATAAGGACTTTGTCATAGAGGAGAAATACAATTAGGCATGGAGTGGAAGGCCCAGAGGGGTTCCGTGATTCCCTTCATCCTGCTAACCTTTCTGGCTAAGTCTTAACATTTTCTGATCTGATAGTCTATTTATTCAACTTAAAGATGAATTGCAGACAAATATAAAAAAGGTGATAAAAGTTAGTTCAAGAAGAAAAAAAAGTATGGAGAGTGTTCGGATGGTCTTGACAGGTTCGGATGGTGCCTGCTCTTCTTGGTGAAGGCCTCTATTCTTCTGGTAGTTGAGTTGAATGGTACTAGGGAGGGACAGGTTTGATTATGATGATGGTAGTGCTGGAGTTGACTAGCCAGTCCTGACGTTGTTCTCAATCCTCAGCTCTCTGTAGCAACTGGACGACTCCTCCACTAGCAATGTGTAGCACCCACTTGGGTGATGCTTCTTCTGCTTACGAAAGAACGGTAAAAGCTCACCACACATCAGCCCAGTGTATAAAGTCAAGCTCACCACGAGGGAGCGTTCTGCCATCTCCACAATTCAGTCCTCTCACTTTTGGGTGGTTGAAACTAGAAGCCGGTGCTGAATGATTTTATACAAGATGAAGCTGTACCGTATGGCTGCAGTCTTGAGAGCTCCGGCCCAACTTTGCTATTTTGTGACTATTTTGGCGTTTATCTTGACTTTTTTTGCACTAAATGTATCTGCTATCATTTCATATGATCAACCAAAACTTTTGAACATCAGATCAGAAGTTGCTAACCTCAATTCCGGCTTCAACTTTGACTCATCCGCCCTGGGCTCTTTATGTACCTCCAATCCAATCTTCGGGCTACCCAAGAGGAAACACCAGCGAAAAAGAGGCAAGAGATCGGGCGTCCTGTTGAGACTAAGGCAAAGGGAAAACTGGCCACATCTTCCGTCCATTCTATTGGCTTATTCACTTAAGAATAAGATTACCTCAGATCGTGGATTTGCTATCAACGGGACTCTCATTCCTGCAATATTCTCTGTTTTTCTGAAACATGGCTTTCGGACAAGATACCCCCATGGCTATCCAACTCGATGGATTCTCCATTCTTCGAGCAGACAGGTCATTGATTCAGGGAAATCCAGAGGGGGAGGGGCATGTCTCTTCATCAACAACAGATGGTGTGCAGACTCTAGCGCAGTGGAAGTCTCTACCTATTGTTCACCCATCTTGGAATACCTGATGGTCAAATGCCAACCCTTCAACCTCCTAAGAGAGTTTTCATCTGTTATCGTGACTGCTGTACATACAAACTATGAAATAACACATATGGAATCATGTAGTAACCAAAAAAGTGTTAAACAAATCAAAACATATTTTATATTTGAAATTTTTCAAATAGCCACCCTTTGCCTTGATGACAGCTTTGCACACTTGGCATTCTCTCAACCAGCTTCATGAGGTAGTCACCTGGAATGCATTTCAATTAACAGGTGTGCCTTGTTAAAAGTTAATTTGTGAAATGTCTTTCCTTAATGCGTTTGAGCCAAATCAGATGTGTTGTGAAAAGGTAGGGGTGGTATACAGAAGATAGCCCTATTTGGTAAAAGACCAAGTCCATATTATGGCAAGAACAGCTCAAATACGCAAAGAGAAACGACAATCCATCATTACTTTAAGACATGAAGGTCAGTCAATACGGAACATTTCAAGAACTTTGAAACTTCAAGTGCAGTCGCAAAAATCATCAAGCGCTATGATGAAACTGGCTCTCATGAGGACCGCCACAGGAAAGGAAGACCCAGTTATCTCTGCTGCGGAGGATAAGTTCATTAGAGTTACCAGCCTCAGAAATTGCAGCCCAAATAAATGCTTCACAGAGTTCAAGTAACAGACACATCTCAATATCAACTGTTCAGAGGAGACTGCATGAATCAGGCCTTCATGGTCAAATTGCTGCAAAGAAACCACTACTAAAGGACACCAATAATAAGAAGAGACTTGCTTGAGCCAAGAAACACGAGCAATGGACATTAGACGGGTGGAAATCTGTCCTTTGGTCTGATGAGTCCAAAATTGAGATTTTTGGTTCCAACCGCCGTGTCTTTGTGAGACGCAGAGTAGGTGATTGGATGATCTCCGCATGTGTGGTTCCCACCTTGAAGCACACACCTGTCTATATAAGGTCCCACAGTTGACAGTGCATGTCAGAGCAAAAACCAAGCCATGACGTCGAAGGATTTGTCCGTAGAGCTCCGAAACAGGATTGTGTAGAGGCACAGATCTGGTGAAGGGTACCAAAACATTTCTGCAGCATTGAAGGTCCCCAAGAACACAGAGGCCTCCATCATTCTTAAATGGAAGAAGCTTGGATCTACCAAGACTGTTCCTAGAGCTGGCCGCCCGGCCAAACTGAGCAATCGGGGGAGAAGGGCCTTGGTCAAGGAGGTGATCAAGAACCCGATGGTCACTCTGACAGAGCTCCAGAGTTCCTCTGTGGAGATGGGAGAACCTTCCAGAAGGACAACCATCTTTGCTGCACTCCACCAATCAGTCCTTTATGGTAGAGTGGCCAGACGGAAGCCACTCCTCAGTAAAAGGCACATGACAACCTGCTTGGAGTTTGCCAAAAGGCACCTAAAGGACTCTCAGACCATGAGAAACAAGATTCTCTAGTCTGATGAAACTAAGATTGAAGTCTTTGGCCTGAATGCCAAGTGTCACATCTGGAGGAAACCTGGCACCATCCCTACGGTGAAGCATGGTGGTGGCAGCATCATGCTGGGGATGTTTTTCCGCGGCAGGGACTGGGAGACTAATTAGGATCGTGGGAAAGATGAATGGAGCAAAGTACAGAGAGATCCTTGATGAAAACTTGCTCCAGAGTGCTCAGGACCTCAGACTGGGGCGAAGGTTCACCTTCCAACAGGACAATGACCCTAAACACACAGCCAAGACAACACAGGAGTGGCTTCGGGACAAGTCTCTGAATGTCCTTGATTGGCCCAGCCAGAGCCCGGACTTGAACCCGATCGAACATCTGTGGAGAGACCTGAAAATAGCTGTGCAGCGACGGTCCCCATCCAACCTGACAGAGCTTGATAGGATCTTCAGAGAAGAATGGGAGAAACTCCCCAAATACAGGTGTGCCAAGCTTGTAGGGTCATACCCAAGAAGACTCGAGGCTGTAATTGCTGCCAAAAGTGCTTCAACAAAGTACTGAGTAAAGGGTCTGAATACTTATGTAAATGTGATATTTAAGTTTTTTATTTGAAATAATCTAGCTGTAATGTTTTAATGTTTCATGTGTGCATGTGGTAAATAAATGAAACTTGAAAGCATCTTTTGAATGCGGTAGACAGTTAGCTATAGCTAACTAACTAGCTAGCTAGCTAGTTTAGCAAACTAAACAAATCGATCTGCCATCAATTCTGCCACTCTGTTGGTCAAGGCAACTAGATACTGTATATTCGATAAAAATGTAATGAGTTATCAAACACACCCCAAAAAAAACAAACACGTAAATCAACTAAATGTGCACAATAATTTGACAGAAGCTCTCAGATAACACTGCTATTACAGCCCCATGGCTATGGGCCCATGGGCTATGGTCAAAAGTACTGCACTACATAAGGAATAGGGTGCCATTTGGGACGGCAACCTCTGGCTCCCAAGAATGCAGGCCATAGATTCCTGGAACTAACCTTAAAATCTATGACATCACAGTCCTATCCTTCTTGATCCAATCTGACCCTGGGTCAGTTTAGTAAGGAAGTGTTGTAGCTACTGTAGAGTGTGCTATATGCTTTACTGACCATGCACAACTTTCCATTGCAAAACCAAACAAACCACACCATCTCACTCTCTCCCTCTCCCCAGTTATTTTTATAGTTCTGTCGGTTGATTGAGCCCTTTTCCCTGTAAAAGACTAAGCCGCAGGTAGCTATCTCTGAATATTTCTAGCCATTAACCCTCTGTATAAATCATTTGAATATATACTTGCAGCCAAATAATGAGTTTAATAATTAATCTCCCTTACAAATAATTGTGATTACAATAACCATATATGGTTGTACAATCTAAGCTGAGGGAAGAATATGAGGAAATGGTGTTGACAGTATGTTTGTACTGTCATGTGCATTGCTTTGATGTCCTTAATGTACTGTTAGAGGTCCAGATAGTGTCATCGTAGTGTGTGTGTGTGTGTGTGTGTAACCCTATTACCGGTGATGTTGAGGAGGCGTGGCAGGAAGCGGTTCCAAAATGCACACAGCTGATTCCGCAGGCCCTTGTGGATCTTCAGGGATTCCGTGTTCAGACCCACGTGTTTCTGTTCACTGTTGGTGAACTGGGGCCACTTCCGCCTGCTATCCACACTGCCATCAAAGTTGATATTGGGGTTACTGGAGAGAGAGGTGAGAGAGAGTGGGAGACAGAAAGAGAGATAATAGATTTGATTAGGGTTGGACAGCTTTCAGTGTGCTTCGATAGACAACACACACAGACCCACCCATACCCTTTTACCACTTTATCTCCCTCTCACTCCCCCCCTCTGTCTTACCCGGTGCGTGCAAAGTTGGCCCAGTATCTCATCATGCGTCGGCTCAGTTTCTCCTCCTCGGCTGTGTAGTTCAGTCTCTTCTCCAGCGGCATGCCGAACACAAACTCTATCTCGTAACCATGGATAACGCCCATCCACTCAGGCCACGCCAGGTTAGACGCACGGTGGTCAAACAGGTACAGGTACACTCCACCTAGAGAGTTTGAAATAGAGCATTGAATGAAATAGAACATGTATCCCTAACCAGGATGGCTGCCATTTTGAGCACATTCTAGAGCTATGCATGTCTATGACATCAGCCACTGTGTTGTATATATCTCAAACAGGTACACTCCACCTGGGAACAACAGTAGGATAGGAGAGACATTGACATGGAATATTGACACAGGACTTTTGAGTTAGACTTTTTGTTTGAACTACTTAAAACTTTAGTTATTCCTTTTAGCACCTAGTGGAGCAAAGGGCCTTAAGAACCAACCATTGTATGACATGAAATAACATCTTTGAAAAACATTCATGAACCATCCTTACCTTGTGAGTTCCCATCCTTCGTGGCCCCAGCGTTGCCTGCTTGTTGGCCATTGTTGGCACCCTGGTTAGAGTGAAACTGGGCATAGCTCCTGGCAAAGTGCTGCAGGGGGCAGATGACATTATGGTCTCCGACCACATCATCCAGGGCATCACGGTTCTTTGCCCCATTGTTCTCATCGAACCAGTCAGTATACTGCAACACAATACAACTGAATTAGTCAGTCAATCAATCATATTTATTTTATACAATAATTTGTACCTCCACGGTTGTCACAAAGTACTGCAACACAATACATGGTAAGACATTTGCGGTTACCCGGTTGCCCTTGCGAGGGCAAGTAAACTGAACAGTCAGGCAAGTGGAGTGTGCTCTGGTTGCCCTGATTGATACAACTTTATTAGTCCATATGTTACAGCGAACAACTAGAATCTGTTTTCTAGCTTGCCAGATCAATTCCCCTTTTTTTCCCCAGCACCCGGCCCAACCGGGATTCGAACTGGCCACCTTTCGGCTACAGGTCCACCTCCTTAACTGGCTGGGCTACTTACCTGCAGCACCACGGCCTCCTGGCCGATCTCGTTGGCATGCGGAACACTCAGCTTCACGCTTTCCAGGAAGTCCTCGCGTGAGATCAGTGACTCATTGTCCTATGGCGAGTCAATGGAAGGTTTGTGTGAAATTGTATCAGTGTCAGTGGAACACACACACAGGCATGAATGTACAAACACACACCCACACTACACATGCACACACAGAGAAACACACACAGGCACACATGCACAAACGCACACATGCAGCCGCCCCTCTCCGCACATTTCACCCCCCCCCACCTTGCTGAAGCCGGGGGCTCCATAAAGGAGGAAGAAGGACCCCTCATCCTGGTTGACCCCCAGCAGGATTTGGGTGTCCTTGAAGTTGCCTGAGCTGAGCATGGCCTCGGGGTTGTCTGGAAGGACCACGCCATCGATGACGGGCACAAAGGAGAAACGGAAGATGGCAGACCACGGCATGACCTGAGAAGACAAAACAAAATGTATTTATTTCGCCTTCATTTAACCTGGTAAATAATTTAAAACACATTCCTTACATTACATGTAAATGCATACGTTAAATGTGAACGTAAAACATAAATGTAAACTTAAAAAGTAACAATGTAAATGCACATTTTAACGTAATTTTTTTTCAAACGTAAGTAGAAAATTTAACAAATGTAAAACTTAAACGTAAACATAAATGTAATGAATTAATGTACCTGCCACTCCTGGTCAATGAGCTCCTGCGGGGGCTTGTTGCGAAGACAGTCCACCATCTCCGTATCGTTACCCCCAGAGGGGCAGCCGACGAGCTTCCCCAACATGACGGCCCTCCGGTGGGCTTCAGCTGGCGTAACAGTGGCCCAGGGGCAGTTTGGGGCTCCACTCTGGAGGATGGCTCGGGTGAAGGTGGGACGACTGTCGGGAGACAGGAGGTGCATCCCAACAGAGACTGCTCCGGCACTCTCCCCAAAGATGGTCACCTAGGAGTAGTGATAGTAGTAGTTAATAACAATAATATTGAATTTATAGAGTGCACAAACTTGCTTTATTATCTCCCGAGTGGCGCAGTGGTCTAAGGCACTGCATCGCAGTGCTAGCTGTGCCACTAGAGATCCTGGTTCGAATCCAGGCTCTGTCGTAGCCGGCCGTGACCGGGAGACCCATGGGGCGGTGCACAATTGGCCCAGCGTCGTCCAGGGTAGGGGAGGGAATGGCCGGGATGTAGCTCAGTTGGTAGAGCATGGTGTTTGCAACGCCAGGGTTGTGGGTTCGTTTCCCACGGGGGGTATGAAAAAAAAAACAATTATGTATGCACTCACTAAAAACTGTAAGTCGCTCTGGATAAGAGCGTCTGCTAAATGACTACAAATTTAAAAAATAATTATCATTACCTGTTTGGGGTTTCCCCCAAAGAAGTGTATGTTATCCTGGACCCACTGGAGGGCCATGCGTTGGTCTAGGAGCCCCACGTTCCCAGGGGCCTCCGAGGAGCCGTGGAGAGCCAGGAACCCAAAGGCGCCGATACGGTAGTTCATGGAGACCACCACCACCCTCTCCGAGTGAGCCAGGTAGCGCCCGTCGTACACATCCAGGGACGAGGAGCCGCTGTAGAATAGAATACAACACAACTTTATTGTCCATATGATACAGCGAACAATGAAAATGTGTCTCCTGCTCAATTCTCAACCTCCCAAAACAGCACTTGCATGCATACACACAAACTTGAAAGAAGCACAGGGTCCTAGCCACAGTGCAACACCCCTGGACACAATAGTAGTTAGGGGATTATTGTTAAGATGTAAACCAAGCAGCCTTCCACTTGTCAGATCAATTCCCCCCTTTCTTCCAGTGCCCTTCCTGCGATTCGAACCGGCGACCTTCTGGCTACAGGTCAATCTCCTTAGCCCACTGGACTACCTACCTGTAGAACCCCCCTCCGTAGATCCATACCATCACGGTGAGGTTGTGAGGTCTGGGGGAGGCGGGGACCCAGACATTGAGGTAGAGGCAGTCCTCGCTCATCTCCCTGTTGAAATCAAATCAAACTTTATTTAGTAAACATCTAGCTACCATCTGGTATAATGAAACTTTATTTCAAATCAAACTTTATTTAAAGTGCATTTAAAATCGCAAACACACTTTAAAGTAAAATAATGAAATGAAGTAAAAGCAAACAAGAAGCAATAAAACAGATTAATAATTAAAACAAAAAAAAATGGCACCCTATTCCCTACATAGTGCACTATTTTTGACCAGAGTCTAATGAGCCCTGAGGGGGACACTACGAAGCAAGGTAGATCTACTCAGGCTTTTATGAAGCTAGCCAGCTAGCCAGCTTCAGTTAGCAGCTTCACATTACAGCTCAGGCTATATCTGTACTACGAAGGTGGATATTGATCGTGCACCCACTGCTTCCTTGAGCCTGCTCGAGCAAGGCTTGTAACTGCGCGTTCATGTCGCACATGGCTAATCGAACGCCGAACTCTTCATTGAGACAATGCTGAAACGTCAATCCATGGGCGCGTCAGTGCCACATTTTCATTTGTGCCAAAATCAAAATGAAGGAAACGTTATCTTGCAAATTCAGCAGGCTAAGCAGTGTGAAATAGACTTTTATATTTTATTACCTATCGTTAATGCCGTCTTTGGTGTGCTTATCAAGGATCTTTTTTCCCCACCTATGATAATATTATTGTATTAAGTCATGCGTGAAGTTTAAAATGCATTCTGTCATTACTAAATGTGTCATGTGATACATGACCATTTTTTAACACACAAAAAATATTTCATTAATCAAATATTTAATCAGTCATCTTCTTCAAATGAAGGGGATGATGACGCAATCTTTGCGAGAGGGAGCTAATCTGATCAATTCATGGCTCAGTTACTTCATTCAGGATAAATGGAGTTAGCTCTGAGTTAGCCTGCCCCAGAGGCAGGTTAGTGCTGAAGGATTCGTTGCCATAGAAAATGACCTTGCTAAAAGGTGAGTCACTTTCGTGGTACCGGTTATCCTAAATTAAACTCAGAGTTGACTAAAGTTACCTCGCTAACTCCTCAAACCTGATTTGTAGTATACCCCTCTGGAATAGAGCGCAATTTGGAACCCAAACAAAGGATATCTAAAACAATAGTAGACTTCTTAGAGTTTCGCATCTCGGAAACCTGGAAAATGTCAACGTAAAATAAATGTCAACCTGTTGGGGTTCCACATCTCGCTTCCCTGGAACCCGGGGAAAGAGGTGTCAACGAACTGGTAGCAGGCATTTGGGTAGGAGCTAGCTTCTAACAAGTCCGACCACGGCTTCTTGGGCTCCGCCTTTCGGAAGCGCTTCTTGCCCAGTGGGGGCTCCGCAAATGGGATTCCGAGGAAAGCGGTCACGTGACTCCGGTCCGGCGTCGGTAGTCGGACGCCGCGGACGCGTCCTGCCAGCATGGTGACGATGAGTTCCGGAGAGTCGCTCTGGGAAGAGGAAGAGGCGAGGAGAGAGAGGAGGAAGAAGGGGAGGAGGAAGACGGTGGAGGTATGCATGGCGCTGTTGTTGTTGTTTGTTTACTTCTCGGTTCTGATGTCAGGTAGTCGGAGGTGTGTGGTCTCTGTTCTGTCTGGTTCCTCAGATCTGTAGGAGAGAGGAGCAGAGGGAGGGGGAGAGAGAGAGAGAGGAAACGTGATTAGGAGAAAGAGAGTGACAGAGAACAGATGACACAAAGGAGAGAGAGAGAGAAGGGGATATAAATACAAGCAGATCTATATGGAGGAAGAAAGAAATGGAGTTGCGTGTTGGAAAGAGGGAGAGCTTGGAGAAAAAAAACAGTGGGGCTTGATAGTATTTACTAAGCAGGTATTTACTAAGCAACAGCGTGAGGTCGGTTTTAGAGAAAGAGGACAAGAGGCGAAGGAAAGGAAAGAACTTAAGCAATATTAAATATTGAAGGAAACTCTACACCACAAAGGACCCTATAGTCGTAGGAGTCAAATTAATCAAACCAACTGTGCTGATACGACTGTGAGGATCTCTAAAACACACACACACACACACACACACACACACACACACACACAGCCATGCAAGCGCAAACATGCACTCACACACACACAAACCTCAGAGGTTGTAAGTTGTTGTTTTTGTTTTGCGATGTGTGGTTGCCATAGCAACAGGATTAGTTTGGGAGTCACAGTCGGGAATAGGGGTGCATGACTTTCACTGCAGCTGTGTGCTATTTCAGTTCTCTTCCTGCTTCGCTGTATTTTGTTCTATTTTTGGTGGTGTCACCTCTCTCCCGATCACCTCACACACACACACACACACGAATGCACACACGCACGCACGCACGCACCACACACAAACAGTCACAGACACACACACTGCATCCTCTCCTCATGTAGGCCAACTGTACGCTTATATGGCATCATCACATACAGTCAGGTCCAACATTATTGGCACCCTTGATAAAGACGAGCAAATAAGACTGTATAAAATAAATAATACAAATACTGAGCTATATTGTACTCTCAAAACATTGGGAAATGATATACTTTTTTACTAATACAATTGCTCAGAGAAATAGATTTAGTTTAACTAAGTAAAACATTTAAAAATAGCGGTCAAAATTATTGCCACCCTTCCTTTAAATACTTTTTCTAAGATTTTATGAGGTTGGAGAACACGTTGGGAGGGATCTTAGACCATTCCTCCATACAGAATCTTTCCAAACCACAGGTTTTCAATGGGGTTCAAGTCTGGAGACTGAAATGGCCATTGCAAAATGTAGATTTTTGTGATCGATTAACCATTTCTTTATGAATTTTGATTAGTGCTTGGGGTTATTGTCTTGCTGGAAGATCCACTTGCGGCCAAGTGTTAGCCTCCTAGCAGAGGCAACCGGATTTGTTTTTTCTCTAAAATGTCCAGGTACTTTAACAAGGGCCCCAGGATCAGTGGAAACAAATTAACCCCATAACATCAAAGATCCACCACTATATTTTACGGTAGGTATGAGGTACTTTCCGGCTTATGCTTTTGTTTTCCAACGCCAAACCCACCACTGGTGTGCATGGCCAAAAAGCTCTATTTTCATGTAATCTGACCATATCACTGGTTACAATCCAAAAGCCAATGCAGTTGATCAAACTACCTGTCTGCATCTGCCTGCCAATGGCAGAGATGAAAAGACAGGAAAGGACCCACTCTCTGCCCCCTTCCCCACCACGTTCAGGAAAGACTACACCCCTATTGCCACTAAACAGCGGGACATTGGAAATCATCCATTTCAAGGGGCACCCCAAATGGCTCCCGCCAAGCCGCAACAAACAGAGCTGGGACTTTATGATTTACGAGAAGACTTTTCGGAAGTATAATCATTACATGAGTATCTAGTGTGGAATGCGAGAACATGTACTGATGCTATGATTATTGTGTGTTGTATAAATGTTTAAGTGATGCGTGTATCCATTGATCTTGCATCGATCTCAGTGGATGAAAACTGATATTCCCTTGTGGATTATTGGCTATTATTAGTGCACGAAAGGACCTGGAGCCACTGCAGAATTTACGTAAGCTGCATTCACTGTTGTCTTCCTCATCCCTAGAATCCCTGCTTGGTTTGAGTGTGTAAATCTGGGTGTACTTCAGTAGATATATTTCAAATAGGAAGGTAAGTGGAACAACTGCACATTTTGGGAGGAAGGAGAGATAATTGGGACATAGCCCATGTTGTCTTGAAGGAAACTCAACTACCTCAATATATACAATACAGTATCTACACTGAGTATACCAAACATTAGGAACACCTTCCAAATATTGAGTTGCACCCATTTTTGCCCTCAGAACAGCCTCAATTTGTCGGGGCATAGACTCTGCAAGGTTTCGAAAGCGTTCCCCACAGGGATGCTGGCCCATGTTGACTCCAATGCTTCCCAGCGTTGTGTCAAGTTGGCTGGATGTCCTTTGGGTGGTGGACCATTCTTGATACATACGGGAAACTACAGTTGAGCATGAAAACCCAGCACCGTTGCAGTTCTTGACACAAACCAGTGCTCCTGGCACCTACTACCATACCCCATTCAAAGGCACTTAAATATTTTGTCTTGCCCATTCACCATCTGAATGGCACACATACACAATCCATGTCTCAATTGTCTGAAGGCTTAAAAATCCTTCCTTAACCTGTCTCCTCTCCTTCATATACACTGATTGAATTGGATTTAACAAGTGACATCAATAAGGCACCATAGCTTTCACCTGGTCAGTATGTCATGGAAAGAGCAAGTGTTCTTAATGTTTTGTATACTCAGTGTATAATACTGTAGTAGGCCATAGGAGAACCACGTTGAGGGAATTCATCGTTACCCACATAACCATCTCAAGATATTGACATTAGAATGAGACCACACACAGCAAACAATACAGGCCTTAGTGTGTGGTCACTGTGTCTGTGTGTGGTCACTGTGTGTGTGTGTGTGTGTGTGTGCGTGCGTTAGGGATGGGCATTTTACATTAATATTGGGATATCCAGATAAAGATCTTGACTCTTGACCAATCAGTAGTTTTTACTAAAAGCAATAGTGATATATTTTAAATGTCATGGTATTTTAAATGTCATGGTATATCCTTGTAGGTAACAATATCACAAGGATAATTTAATTTATAACAACGCTTTTTCATTGTCAAAATAGACCTACAATTGTTTTTCTATAAAAATGATCACTGACTCAAGTAATCGAATGCCAATGTCCGTTCTGATATCCAGATATTAGATGAACCGTGTCTAACCCTAGAGTGTGTGTGGTCACTGGTTAGGCTACAGTACACTAATGATGTCTAGTCAGTAGACTGGACACCTTATACGCTTCTCAAATGTAGGATGAGCTAAGTGAGGACTGACTTAAGCTTGGGGGGGGGGGGGGGGGGGGGGGGTGAAGGAGTGAGAGAGAGAGTGTGTGTTTTATTTATGTGTGTGTAAGACTGTGTGTGTGTGTGTTTGAGAATGCATGTGTGTCTGGAGAGACAGTCTGGGTAGATACTAGGGAGTGCCAAAGAAAGACGAGAGGATGCAGGTTGGCTAGTCTGCAGTTACATATCGGGATATTATCTTTGACGATATATATCGTATAATTTGGACAATATCGCAATATTATTTTTGTACCTGCACCATAACTTTTCCTTCATAGCTTGTTCTCCATCTTTTTTTATATAGGGAGGCCATTTGTTTTCAGCACTTTTATTTCCATGACTGACAACTCGTTTTCTCATGGCTCTCTCTTGTCCCTCTGCAGCAGACATGGTGAGCAATATGTTTGGAACATTGAATCGCAATAAAAACACAGTATTGAATTGCAATACATATAGAATCGTGAGAATCTCAATAAATATCGTAATGGCACCTAAGTATCGTGATAATATCGTATCGTGAGGTCCCTGGCAATTCCCAGCCCTACTATTTAGTACACTATGTTCCACCAGAACCCAATAGGACTCCAGTGAAAAGTAGGGGAATAGGGTGCTATTTGGGATACAACCTGGGTGTCTCAATTGAGTTATTAATATCTGAAAGGACAGCTGAGGGGCGGAAGTGGGGGAGGGAGGGGTGAGGAGGAGGAGGAGGGGGGAGAGAAGGGGGAGAGAAGGGGGAGAGGGGGATGAGAGGGGTGTCCGTTCTAGAATTAGCTCCTGGAATCTGTGTATGAAGTTCACAGGGGGATATGTTTCAGTGTGGGGGTTTACACCGCCGTCATATATACGTTATGTGTACGCGCTCTTCTCTCTCACTCCCTTTCTCTCGCTCTCTCTCTCCCTCTCCATCGCTCTCTCTTGTGTGAACTCTGGCTTGGTTGCTGTGGAAACGCTGGGCCCACACCACCTACTGCATCCTCTGTCCATCTCTTTACCTCCTCCTCCTCTTCTCTTCCTCCCTTTTTCTCTCTCACCCTCTCTCGTCATCCCCCTCTGGCACTCTCTCTTCCTTACTCTCTTTTTATTTTTCTCTCCGTCCATCGCTCTTTCTGCTAATGTAATGTCGGACTCCCGGTTCAACCAATGAATCCTCTCTCCATTCTATACCCACACTCCTCTTCTATACCCACACTCCTCAGTCTTTCTCTTTCCTTCCCCGATCTCTCCTTTATCTCTATCCATCTCTTTCTGCTCCATTATGTTTCCCCTCCATTATATGTGTTCTTAGAGCTTTTCCTGTATGTCTCCCTTCATGTGATCTTAATTCAACTCCACACACACACACTGTCATAGTATATATCCCTTAGGGACCGAATACATTCCAATTCCATCCGCCCAACACACACACACACACACACACACGAGAGATCAAGTGCCACTAGCAGCAATGGCACTGGTGACATCATTGGTCTAGTCGTCCCACTGTCTTGCTTTTGAGAAATCGTGGATAGGCCCATATAGGCCTACTATAGAGAGACACTGTGGCCTACTAGTATCCTATACTGTAATGTACAAGTTAGGCAATAGAGCTACTATATTGGCATTATAGAGGGAGACAGAGGCCTAGTACTTCTATACTACTCTGTACTGTAATGTAGATCTAGGCTTATTTCAGCTTTGTTCATTTGTAATGAATGACCATGCTGATGTTGATCTATGTCAGGGATGGGCAACTTTGATGGGGATGGGGGCCACAAAAATCGGAACTCCACGATGGGCACACTCGCTCACGCACACACAAACACACAGTCATCTTTGCCTTTTAGTGACGAACACGCCCTGATCTGTCACTCTGGGTGACATGGAAGATGAGCGGCACAGGAATCACTGGAATTTTCCATTTCGTGATTTGCACGGCTAATGTTTCACCCACCAGACTCTTTACACACACACACACGCCGGGTATTGGAGGCAGGCAACCATGCATTATACTGTACAAAGACTCTATTGGCTATCCAATATAGGCCTATTTCGTTGAAGATAAAACTGGTTATGGGATCAGATGGATCAGAGTAGATTAGAATAGAATAAAATAGAATCTGAATATGAGCTTGCCTACTCATCACAACAAATACTAGCCTACTAGATATGGACAGGCTGGGTCCTGGGTGGTGCGCAATCAGGAGGAAAATACCATTAGGCCCAACCACCTCTCCAGGGAGTACAGTGGTTGCAGCAGCAAATGACAGAGTGGGCTTATCTAGATTGTATCAACATGTAGTTGAATGATTGAAGATAGATTTGGGTCTGTGGGGGATGGGGGAACATCACAAGTGTGATGTTCTACAAATAAACATGCTTCCCAAAACAAACTAACAACAACAACTGTTGACCCTGGGGGCTATTTATTTTTATTTTTACCTTTATTTAACTATCTAGGCAAGTCAGTTAAGAACAAATTCTTATTTACAATGACGGCCTACACCGGCCAAACCCGAACGACGCTGTGCCAATTGTGCGCCGCCCTATGGGACTCCCAATCACGGCCGGTTGTGATACAGCCTGGAATCGAACCAGGGGGGCTGTAGTGACGCCTCAAGCACTGAGATGCAGTGCCTTAGACCGCTGCGCCACTATAAATTAGTTCAGTTTTAGCCCAATGGATGATGTCATCTTTTGATGACATCATTTCCATAATGAAACTGTAGGCTTATAAGTGATTAAACAATGTAAAGTCTATTCAAGGTTAGTTAACATTTTACGCCCAGTAAAGTTGAATAGTCTATACCACAGCCAACAACGCTTACTAATATTGTGATATTTTAAGTGTTCACGTGAGTCCGTGATATTTTCTGGGGTGCGTTTTTTAGCGATTCTAGGGGCAATAAATGGACAGTTGTGGAGCGCGGGTATAATGTAGCGGGATACCTCAAGGAGGGGATAGGTGACAGATTGTGGTCGAGGTAAACAAAAATACTTAACTTAAGTTCATCCCTCTCCCTCTCTCTCTGTACGCGCGCCCCCTCGCGCTTTTAATCAAATTATAGAGCTATCTACCCGTCCGTCCGTCTGTCTTTCTCTATGGAGTAGCTTATGGGCATTTCCATCGAAAAGGATCCATGAGCACCAACATGTGAAGTTCATAGGAGCATAACAACTTGGGTGTCAAATGAAAGCTAAGTCTATATTTTTGGGAAATGAAGGCAGATACATTTTCCAACCATTTTCCATCTTAAGAATGTGGCATAAGTGAAGTCTTTGATTTCTGGATAAAAACAGATAGAAAAGGGGTCTTAGGAAACATCTACCAGCAAAAGTCTTAGAAGGTATCAGAAATACATCAAAACACAATAATGTTGATGTAAAGACCCCTGCCAACTAATATCAACACACATTTCTTTTTGGAGAAATTGTTAACCTTCTGTAAGTATAAGAAATATTGCCTTGTAATTATGTTACCAAAAACCCACATATCTTTATGTGGAGGGAGGATAATCAAAGTTCACAGAAGTAACAAGTAATGGTAGACCTACCAATTAGTTATAGTGATTTTACTGATATACATTTAGTTTATGAATTATTAAGTGATTAAAACTCATATTTCTGTTACAAAATTTGTAACGGAATTACCAAAAATCAGTAACGGAATTACTGCAGCTGAATTGGCTACAATGGGAAATCATAATAGTCACAAACCACAGTTTGGTCACCTGCTACTGCCCTCCCTTCCACTGGCATACTGTTATGTTCAGCTGATAACTGTTTTCTTTCTGTTTCTGTCATCTGGTGGTTAAACCAAAACAGTCTGAGTCTGGACAACCTCTCCCTCTCTCTCTCTGCCTTTCTCTCTCACTCTCCCGTTAATGTCACCTCTCCCAGCTCTTACTGCCACCTACCCATGAGCCTCCTCTCTTTCCATTTACTGTAACCAGCATCCTCGCCCACTGAGCACCGACCGACACCGGATGTTGAAAAGTAGTTTAAATTTGGTCAGTCAACCCTGGCCTTGATGTTAACGTCCACAGACAAACCGGACCAAATCTGAACCTATCATAGACATATGTTTCACAAGTTTGGATAGCACAGTACAGTACAGTACAATACAATCCAATACAGTGGTACAGTACAGTACAATAAAGTAAGACAATGTAGCATAGTATAGTAGAGTACAGTATATTGTACTGTAATTTACTGTACTGCTATACTCTACTATACTATAATGTACTCTTCTACTGCACCGTACTGAACTCTACTCTATCCTACTCTGCTGTGCTGTATTGTGATGTCCAAACTTGTGAAACATGAGGAGAATTACATTCATATCCATAATTATGCATTTCTGTATAGTACAGATCAGGGACCCAAGATGTAATTCCGTTACCGGGTGTAAAGCCACTTCACTTACTGCAGTTCAGTAACCAAAATAGATTTTTTCAAACCCAAGGTGCCATGTCATAGCTGACACCCTATTCTTTCTGCAGACATCTTTTCATCTTAATTCAGAGCAGATATTTAACAGAGTCTTTGGAAGATGTGGTCGCATAGAAACCTGAGGGAGATTTTACCGTAATTCCGTTACCAAAGTTTGCATCTGCACAGTTCTTCCACTAAATTCGTTTTTGTATATGTTTCAGTGGAAATTGTTAAAAGTAGTCCTTGTGCATAGAGTTGTATGGTTTGTTCTACTTTGAAATCAATGGTTTTGGTTTCTCATACATTTTAATTCCGTTACCATGGAATTGCCCCTATACATTATCTGCTAATAAGGCTATAACATGATTCCGGCATATAGGTAGACTAGACGTATAGTCTAGTCTGAAGATGATATGGCATTATGGCAGGAAACCATGCCATCTTATTTTGACAGCAGTGCCACAGACAGTCGTTATGCAACATCAAGGAGAGAGCATCTCTCTCGCACACACACACACACACAGGATGGCTCCGGTAATGGTTATCCAGCTAACCCAACCAGCCTGCTGAAGTAAACAGACATCAGACATTTGTGACATGGCCAGGTCAGGAAATCTCTCTCTCTCTCTATCTGTGTGTGTTGATCTGTCCAACATGGCACAAGATCACAGCAATTAGGCTACTAGGTCTAGGCTATGACATTGGCTGCCATAGTCGCCTAATAATGCAATTACAATAATTATAACAATAATAATACTTATTATTATTAACAATAATAATAGACCTATAATAAAAACTGATTTGGCCTACAAATGCCATGTTTCTCAACAAACTGGTTGCACCCGATTTGCCACAATTGCATTTGGTGGCTAGTTCACAATGTTTTGCGTTTGAATGTAGTGTCCATGTTCGTGTAAACACAACGTCGTCCACTGTACTGTCTATGAAATCTATTAAAAACATGATAGACGAGACATCGGCTACCTTCTGCGGCCCCCAACCAAAACGGATGTGCGCGAGGCGAGGAACACCAACAAACACACATGCGTCTCGCTCTGTGGCTCGCCATGGAAGGCGCGTCACACACGCAACAGCATCAGCACAGTAGTCTAAACCCCACCACCACAGACACACGCACTGTCAACCACTCTCCCTCTCCCCCACAATATCCAATTGCATGATCATGATGCCTGGTTTAATTTAATTAATATCCCCATTCGAATGTTCCAATTCCATTTCACTCACTGACGGGACTGACAGAGGCGCGAGACTAGATCGAGACATTTCGAGCAAAATTTCTATAAAAGGACAGACACAGCAGCTGCTGATGCATGCACAGACGGAGCTCGAAAGGAGCCGAGCGCATGGCTGGGTTCATGCTGTGCGTTTTACCTTACCCGGCTAGTTAGTGGTGGGTCCTCCAGTGGTCAAAACCAAATCAACTCTGCTTCAGCTGCTGCTTCGCTGAATACCCCGGAAGGCAAGCTTCCCTCCTCGCCCTGTCACCGTCTTTAGAGGACGTTAAACCCCGTGTCACCGGCACCGTTCATGGGGTGAGGAGGGTTTCTACTTGGGGAGCAAAGACGCGCGGTTTAAATTACGGTCTTCGCTGCCTCGCTGTCAGACATAGATGTCTTCTGTTTATTGTGCCCCTCTCTCTCTCGGTAGTGTCAGAGCCGTACTATGGTGCTATGACGACAGGGGGAGACTGCCAATGATAAAGCTCTTCCACGAATGGGGGGAAAAAAAGGGAAAGTGGTAGGCTACTCAAAGACACTCTCGCGAGAAGAAACGCAGCTATCCATACTTGTTTCTTCTTCATGTGTCAACAAGGGTTTGCTTGCCAATACACTTGCCAATACACTGACCAGACTTTGTATGTAGGCTGATATGATGTTCTGATATTTGTATTTCTGATTTTAAAAATTGCTTTATTCACATGACATACTATTAGTAATAATAAGACGGTGGTTGGCCTGATCACCGACGATAATGAGACAGCCTATAGGGAGGAGGTCAGAGACAACAACCTCGCCCTCAATGTCAGCAAGACAAAGGAGCTGATCATGGACTACAGGAAACGGAGGGCCGAGCACGCCCCGATCCACATCAACACACACCAACACAGTCGTGAAGAGGGCACGACAACGCCTCTTCCCCCTCAGGAGGCTGAAAAGATTTGTCATGGGCCCTCTGATCCTCAAAAAGTTATACAGCTGCACCATTGAGAGCATCTTGACTGGCTGCATCACCGCTTGGTATGGCAACTGCTTGGCATCCGACCGGAAAGCCCTACAGAGGATAGTGCGTACAGCCCAGTGCATCACTGGGGCTGAGCTGCCTGCCAGGACCTAAATACCAGGCCGTGTCAGAGGAAAGCCCTAAAAATTGTCCGACTCCAGCCACCCAAGTCATAGACTGTTCTTTCTGCTACCGCAAGGCAAGCGGTACCGATGCATCCAAGTCTGGAACCAACAGGACCCTGAACAGCTTCCACCACCAAGCCATAAGACTGCTAAATAGTTAGTTAAATAGTTAACAAAATAACTACCGGGACTATCTGCATTGACCCTTTTTGCACTGTTTTGACTTCATCACATACGCTGCTGCTACTGTTTATTATCTGTCACTTTATTCCTAGTTATATGTACATATCTACCTCAATGACCTCGTACCCCTGCACATCGACTCGGTACTGGTACCGTTACTCATTGTGCATTTATTATTATGTGTTTTACTTTTCTATTATTTCTCTATTTTCTTTCTCTCTGCATTGTTGGGAAGGGCCTGTAAGTAAGCATTTCACTGTTAGTCTACACCTGTTGTTTATGAAGCATGTGACAAATAACATTTTATTTGATTGAAATATTGTCAAAGTATCAATGGGACTGTAGGCCTACAACTGCATTGAGTCGTGCACATTGTTAAAAATCATTCATACTATACATAAACATTATTTTCTCTCTCTCTCTCGCTTTCTCTCTCTCTCTCTCAGAAAAGAGTAATAGATGTCACTCAAATGTCCTTCGTTCTAATTTGACAAGCCTCTGATTGACTTAACAGCCTCCTCTCTCCTCCCCCTTCTCAACTACTCTCCTCATCCTCCCCCCTCCTACCCTATCCTCTCTCCCCCGTTCTCAACTCTTCTCCCCCCTCTCTCTCATCATCTCTCCCCCTCCCTCCTCCCCTCCCTCCTCTCCCTCATCCTCCTCTCCCCCATCCTCCTCTCCCTCGTACGAAGGCCCCATTTAGCACAAGGGCTTGTTGCTCGTTGTCAGCCCATAGGTTATTTGTGTGTTGAGGCGCAGGTCTTGTTTAGTACAAGACAGTCAAATTGGTTCATTCAAAATATCCTCTAAAAGATCACTAAAAGGACACAAAAATATCCTCAGCCCTACTCTCCCTCCCTCCCACCCAGACTCAAGTAAAGGGTCATTGGTGCTACCCTGGCTACGTCCTAAATGGCACCCTATTCCCTTTGTAGTACACTACTTTTGACCAAGGCCCTATGGTAAAAAGTGTACTAGTGCCGCTAGTAAAAAGGGTTTCATAACGAGAAGGAAGAACACAGGGAGAAGAGCAGAAAACTGACCCATGACCCTTGACCCACAGTTCAGACATAGAAGATCAAGGCAAGAGGTGTAGGGTAAAGTTGCCCCTAGATGCTGATTGTGGGTCAGTTTAGGATTTTCCCCACTATTGGTTAAGGTTAGGATTGGTTGAGGGGAAGCTGATCCTAGATCTGTAGGGGAAACTGCACCTCAGAGTGGCAAGAGATTGAGTAACTATCATGTGTTGCCCTCACTTGTTTCCTCCCCAATTGGAGACCAGCCCTGTTTGTGTGTATTTATTTCTTATTTTTAATTTGCAGTGATGTTCTATTTAACATTTTGTGTGCCTTATTCTAATTTGCATGAATGTCTATGGTTTGCTGTGCCTCTACCTCCTTTTGGGCTTTAACTGATTTATTGTAGACTCCTTCCCCTTGGCTGGTCTCCTTGGAGACGGGCGTTGGCCCAGGTCTGCCACACCTGGGCCTGATAAAACTAACAAGCTACCTGAGCTCCTTAAAGTGGAGCTTCCAGTTCACTCTGGGGTGGCGGACTGTGAAATCGAGGCCTCTGGGAGACGGATTGTGTGAGGAAGGGAAATGGCGGTGAGTAGTGGCTTACTATATCATTATTTTATTTGACTGACTCTGCACTCTCTCTTATTTCTCACTGCTTTGCTCTGCCCTTACTGTATTGGATGACATCATCAGTATGGGACAGAGCCTGCACCATGTCTGCATCCTCAATGGTACCCTATTCCCGCATAGGGCTCTGGTCAAAAGCAGTGCACTAAAAGGGAATAGGATGCAATTTGGGAAGCAGCCTATAAATGCCAGCGGCGGCACCAGTGGAGATGATTTATTCCCGGTTGGATCAATTGTGTAATAAAACATTACTGGCTGTTTGTCTGTTTAATGGACGAGAGGGGAAATGAAAACCCTGCGTCTCCTCTCATACTGCAGATATTCTACTGCTACTAGGGCCAGGAGTTTTACCTGACAACTTTTTGACCTGAACAGGAAAAACTCTGCTCGGACAAAGGCTTTACACTTGTTGTATTTGGCGCATGCGACAAATAATAATTTATTAGGTTTATTAGGTACACCACCCTGTTCATGAAAATGGATTGAGGCATTCAGTTACTGTTCGATTGAACGTTAGAATGGGCAAAACGAGTGACCTAAGCGACTTGAGCGTGGTATGATCGTCAGTGACAGGCGCGCCGGATCCAGTATGTCAGAAATGGCCGCCCTCCTGGGCTTTTCACGCACAACAGTGTCTAGGGTTTACCGAGAATGGTGCGACAAACAAAAAAAACATCCAGTCAACGGCAGTCCTTTGGGCGTAAACAGCTCGTTGATGAGAGAGGTCGAAGGAGAATGGCAAGAATCGTGCAAGCTAACAGGCAGGCCACAAACAGGCAAATAACGGCACAGTACAACAGTGGTGTGTAGAATGGCATCTCGGAACGCACAACTCGTCGATCCTTGTCACGGATGGCCTGTTGCAGCAGACGACCACACTGGGTTCCACTCCTATCAGCTAGAAAAAAGAAGCGGCTCCAGTGGGCACGCGATCACCAACACTGGATAATTGAGGATTGGAAAAACATCACCTGGTCCAACGAATCCTGGTTCCTGTTGCGTCATGCTGATGGCAGAGTCAGGATTTGGCATAAACAGCATGAGTCCATGGACCAATCCTGCCTGGTACAGCCTGGTGGCGGTGGTGCACTGGTGTGGGGAATATTTTCCTGGCACATTAGGTCCCTTGATACCATTTGAACAACAAAAGTTTCCGACACCTTGTAGAATCCATACCCTGAAGAGTTCAGGCTGTTCTGGAGGCAAAGGGGAGTCTGACCCAGTACTAGATGGGTGTACTTAATAAACTGGCCGGTGTGTATGTCTATGCATGTAAGAGGTAGAGCAAAAGGGAAGCCGTGCAAGGTGGACGACCGTGAATGCTTCCTGGGTTTTCCTAACGCAGTTGTCATTGATTATCTGGCTCCTTGGAGGCTGAAATATACAGCCTCTCCCTCAGCCCAGCTATTAATTCAGCCTAACTCAATCACAACTATTACCCATTACACAAACACAGAGAGAGAGGGAGAGAGAGAGGAATAGGCAACAGAGATGGAGTCTGTACGGATAAATTAAGGGGGGAGAGGCAGAAGGGAGGAGGAGAGAGAGAGAGAGAAGAGATTCAGGTTGGTGAGAAGTATACGTAATGCAACAGAGGTGGAGAGGGCAGGGATGGAGGGAAAGGTTGGAGAGGAGTAGGAAACAGAAATGGAGAAGATGAGGGTAGAGAGAGAGGGAAAGAGGGGACAAAGTGAGAGAAATTATAATAATAATAATAAATAATAATATGCCATTTAGCAGACGCTTTTATCCAAAGCGACTTACAGTCATGTGTGCATACATTTTTACGTATGGGTGGTCCTGGGGATCGAACCCACTACCCTGGCGTTACAAGCGCCATGCTCTACCAATTAAGCTACAGAGGACCACCAGAGGATAAGATGAGTGTCCATGCACGTGCATGTGTGTGTTCTCACAAGCTTGTGTGTGTGTGTGTGTGTGTGTGTGTGTGTGTGTGTGTGTGTGTGTGTGTGTGTGTGAGAGGAGTGTGTTTTTGGAGATGACCATTCTACATCCCACTCTCCAGCCTTCGGACTTTGTACTGCTGACCTAGGCGGGCTGTTTTGTATCACTTCAAATTACACTGAAGGACACACTGACCATGTCAGACAGCTTTTAGTATTCAGCTCCACAGAGCACAAAACAGAAGGTCCTGTTACACTACACTGTCTGTAATGTCATTGCCATTGTGACTAGCTGCATAGCCTGGCTACACACAGTAACAGTACAACTGAGCCAAGAAAATAAATCCTGAAAATTGACCTTAGAAACCACAACCAAAACTCCATTCATACTCTCTCATACAAAACTCCACATAATATATCTGTAACCCCACAGGCTACATACAGTAACAAGACAAATGAGCCAAGGTTAATCAACAATGAAATGGACCATCGAATAATCATTTTCTACGATTAGTAGAGCTGGAGAAGGAACCACCTCAGCCACCTCTCGCCTTAAAAACCATCAAAAGGTTTACTAAAAAAACATAATACCCGAAGCCAACTT